AAACAGATGCATTCCCTAGAAGGTTTCAGATTGCAAGACAACTCATCTATTTTTATCTGCCAGGTCATATGTGATGTTAAGAACAATGCCTGGGGCAAATTTTAAAGATACAGTTTCATGGGAACATAGCTACCTTGCCCTGTGTCAGAAGCCAATAGTATTTATAATGTACTAACAACCGTTTTACATCCTTACTGAATTTTCTCTGTAGAGTGCTTCTCATTAATCTACTTCTTCTTTGTTTCATTTCACAAAAATGTATAATCTCACACAATTTAGCACATACCTATTCAAAAAATAGTTCCTTTTACATTAAATCCTGACCAATTGACATAACACTGAAAAAATCTATCACATTCTTCAAACATGAATTTTAAAGCCTAGCAGCCGTAATAAAAATCATTCTTCTTCCCTTAATTCAGCTTCATAAATTGCACAGTAATCTTCGCTTGTCTTCACTATGCACTTTGGGCTGTTTGATCAAAGTCGGGCAAGATAAATTTCTCCCTCTTCCTTTTTCCCTGCCCGTCCTCACCCCCTCCACCCCACTCTTCCATTCCTCAAAGCTATCTAAATGAATTTTTCCACCGGGACAATTTGTGTAAAAATGTCCCAGGCAAGCAGGGCAACCGTCGGTTGTTACTGAGACCCAGGCTAACTCATCAGTCATTTTAGAAGATGCTTCTCTCCCTCTGAAGCCCTCGCCAACGGTACACATATATCTCCTTCTGCACAGCAGACTGACATAAGTCCAAATGACAGTGTTTTAAAACAAAAGTATTGCAGCACTTAGGCTTCAGATCCAATACATGTTATTAAGGAGACCTGTTAGACTGGAAGACATTAATGACTGTCAAGTGACTCTGACACAAAGACAAGTACGAGCCTTGTTAAGCTTGAAAATCGTGCTAGCTCCTTTTACAATTAACACAGGAGGTGTAATTGAACCCCTACTGCATAGCAATATTCAGAAACTAATGCAGTCGCTACCAAAAGGCACTGGGCTTCACAGTAGGAAATGTGTGTGAATGTGACCCAAGAAATGCAGAGACCCCCCACAGCTGAGCTACTGGATTTGTGAGGAATTTGAAAGGTGAACAAGACGACGGCCTGTAATTTATTTGTTGCTACTGCGTTCAGAGCAACACGACGGTGTGCGCTCCAGAAACAAGCCAGACTGGGCCAAACCCAAACTTCCCTGGGATCAGCAGCCTCTCTCCCTAACGGCGGATCGTGGGAGATGAGCAGCAGGGAGGAGGGGGGCAACACAGCTCGGGAAACCCTCAGCACCAGGGAAATACCAGTGCCAGGGGGGACTGGATGATTAAAGTGAAGGTATCTGCTAGTACTGGAGTAGTAACACTCACAGGTCGCTGCAGTTGGTGCAAGGAAACTGTAATAAGGTTAGGAAACTCCGAACTAATAGACCCAAGGCCTGGAAGAGAACGGGACGTTCAGCAGAACACGATAAAATATCGACCAGAGACTTTTCACAAAGACTGGAAACCAACCTGCGGAAGTCAGGGGCGGGGGGCAGATAAAATTGTAAAAGCCTGCTTTTGCATAGCAACTACAGGATGCCTGCAGGTGTCAGAAGACCACGGTTATTTCTCAATTAGTCAAAACTAATCTTAGCAATATAAGACTAGTTATTACCTTCCCGGTCACTGCTTACTATGGCAAATACTATAGAATAAAGTCCCTTTCATGTATTTAGAGATCCCAATCTCAAAACTGTTTCTATTCTTGTTTTGTTCACACTGGTAAAATGTGACAAAACTCGTTGTTTCTCAACTAAATTACCCATGGCCAACTTAAACCGATCCTGTTTTCTGCCAACACTACTGTGTAGTTTACACAGTTATTTCCTTCCCTAGAGCTGCCTGCTGATGGATCTATGGGCAGGTCCTGTGCACGTGCTCAGCCTTTGTTGTCCTGCACTGCAGTTCCAACCCTCTTCATTTGCCTTTTAGCATTTTCCTTCCCTACATCTAATTTCAGTTAACCTTGTTTAAGCATATACAAGCAGAATAATACACACTACTACAGTTTAAAGTCTCCCAAGGACCTCGTGCAATGATATCAATAGTTCTCTGCCATTACAGGAGACACCTTTTGTGGCATCATGGGATCACATCTGTCTTTTTATGTAGCTGCACGACACTAGCAGCTCGTAACAGCAATTCACTCTAGACCCCAGCTGGGATATTCGCTACCTTCCTTATTAAGACAAACAAGTCGTGAACCTCTTCAAAGGCTGTAGAACCTAAAAACTGGAAGAGAATCACCCGCAGTGAGTGTCACTGATGGAAAAGGGACTTAAGAATTTCCAGTAGTGTCAAATTTTCACAACACTGTTTGGTTTGGTTTCTAAGACGGAGAAGTTTGGGTGAAGAGTTCACTAAACTCCACTAAGGTAAAAAAAGTCAATTAGAAACTTGAGCTGAGCCAAGACACTGTTCCTGGCTGTGAAAATCATTCCTCTGGTTTAGAACACCGCCTTACCAAAGCAGAAGCCTAGAGGTGCAAGCATCACCCCCTGGTTTTGGTTGGATGCTGGACAAGTCAATCATAATGGGAGTACTTCTCTTGGCAGTGTAAACGGAGCAATCTAAGTTTATTTGTAGCTTTGCCATGCGTCACGTTGCACATTTCCCTTCTCTACCAATGACTGGGTAGAGACGAGAAGACCACATTAGAAGGCTAAGTACTATCATTGTCACAACTGATCAGGAACTATTAACTGTTCAGATCTTAATGAAATCACATTGCACATAGTTATTATTTTTTCAGTACTGAAGCGTTAGTACAAGAAGATAATAAAAAAATATTGTTTGAATATTCTAAGAGAAATAACTGTATATCAAAAGATATTTCACCAGGGAGGAGGAATTAACAGTGCATTCTCTTCGCTGTTTTTATGAGAGCACATTTATGGCTTAGGATAGAAAATTAATTCTTCTAATGGCTCTTCAGATATGTGAACCCCGTGAAGCAGATGTGCAAGAAACTTGTACTAAAATTTTATCCACAGGCCATAGCACAAGTATGGCAATATTAATGCTCTGCTCAGATGGCCCTGGGTGAAAGGTGACCACAAACAGTGCACTAAAAAAAAAAAAAAACAAAAAACAAACAAAAAAAAAAAACACAAAAAAACAAACAAAAAACCAAACCAACAACATAAGTTCATCCAGTTGAGACTCCAACAGGCTGCGGGGACTATGTGGAAAGATGCATAATCAGTCAGATCAACACTTGCACTTCTGGGACCGCAGCCCCCTGACAGCTGGTTGCTAGTCTCTGAGTCTATGACTCCGTGACATACAGTGACTTTCACCACATAGTCTGGCACAACACTTCCCGAAGAGAAAAATGTGTAGCGAAAAGGACATGCTAATATCAGTAATATGTCCAAGTGGAGAAACCTGCAGGCACGTGCAGTCATTCTAAAGTGAGGTCTCCACAGCCAAACATGACAGCACTGTGGAAAAGCAGAGAATTTAGAATGGAAATGCAGAATAAGGAAAGGAAAAATACAGTAAATTCTGTGAAAGAATAACAGGCAGCTATACTGGGCTGTGGAAAACAAAGATTTCTGTTGTGATTTTAAAAACAGTGAATATGTTTAATTTTGCAATTTCAGCCAGAACAAGAAACAGGCAACTCTGAAGCAGCACTAATGTATAGAGAAACCAAATGAATCTTATGGCTTTTACTGTATTGGGTCTTTCACAAAATGTAGGATTGGCAGCTGGCAATTTTTGTAGTCACTGACTATTCAACAAAATCATCCAAAGCTTATCCCACAGTGATTCAAAAGGCTTCATCAAAAGCACAAGTTTAAATGAGCAAATTCTTTGCTGAGACTTGGAGCCCAGATGAACAGTACAGAGAAAAAGAGAAGAGAGGAGGGAAAAAAAAAAAAAAAAAAAATTTCCATCGGTTATTGAGGTCTATACAGTATGCATTAATCCAACACACAATTCCATGGGACTGAGGAGGGGCTCTTACTCTGGCTGTCTACAGAACAGCACCAGTTGACAGCCTCATGCCTCATTTCATTTGGCAGCTTACAGAATAGAAAAATCAACATGAGTGCACGGGATATCCCACTTCAGGTGGGCCAGAGACACATATAATATCTCCACAGCCTGAAAGTTTTGCCCCTGTAGATAAGCAACTTCCATTGGCACCTAAGAAAAAAATTTTCTTGCAGGGCATTTTATGACTCTGTATTTTGAACCTCATATTCAACTAAGAAACAAATAGGGAAACAGAAGTATATTCCAATGCTAAATTTAACAGAAAAATTAAGTGACTATAACTCGATTAATTCAAGAGTAAAATATATGCCGGAGTCAGATTTAAATAATAAGATGAGGTAGTTAAAATTTTTTTGCCAACCAAAGTGTTTTACTATACTTCATATGCTAAGAGACGAAAAAATGGTGTTCAAGGACTGTCACTGCTTCAATGTTGACACCTATGACAGTGTCACCGTTGATCACAGTTTGCAAAGTACTGCCCTGCTGTGCAAAAACTATGATTATCACCAATTTTACCACTAATTCTGCAGTCTTTAACAGATTGTTCCTGGCTTTGTCCTGAATAATTATTAGAATCATCCAAGCACAAAGAACCATACTGTGTAGCCAAATTTGAGATCATCATAGGTCTTATGCTATGGTAACTTTTGTCACATTGTCAAACGGCATCTGCCTGTTTGAGTATGCATCCAAAGTCTGAGTACTCCAGGACAGACCTCTTAAAAAGTCCAATAGTGTAAGTTATTATGATCCTTCATACCAGACAGTCCATTTCTTAACTTTGGTCAGGAATAATAGAAATAAACACATACAGGATGTTCAGTTGAGTGGGTCTGGATGGCAAGGGAGTCACACAAGAGCAAGATGATGTTAGAATTTGGCTCAATATTACTTATCAACAAAGAACAAAACCCAGTCTGATACAACATTAAAAGAAAACAGATTTCTCACCTTGCTCCAGCAATAAGCTCTTTTTGTCCTGGGTCAAATGTTAACTGCGAGAAGTCCACAGCATCTTCTGCTCTGAACACATGTAACCAAGGGGCAATTTCTGAAAACAACCAAGAAATACAACTGTTACTGTAAATGCCAGAGTTGTAGCACACCAGGTAGCCAACATTGCATTTGCGGATATTGTGGGGCTGCAGGTTTTCTCCGTACGGTCCTCTAAGGAAACAGAGGAGACTTTTACCACCATACCATGTAATTTACAGTACAGCCCTGTAAAATATATAGCGCAGTCACCCAATACACACTTGAATGAAGTATTCAAATTCTGGTCTGATTTATATGCCAGATGTGGTTTTCCTCCTTCGGTAAAGCAGAAAACACCACAGTACGATGGCAATTCACTGGGACATACTCAGGTGAAGTCAGATTAATCTGCCATGCCTCAGAAGCTGCTGAGGACTAGTTGTTTGGGTTTTTTTTCCTTTGTTCTTTAAAAAAGGATCTGACCGAGTGGAAAACAATGAGAAAAACAAGCAAATTTGACTTTTTGTCATTTTCACAGTAAAAAGATTGAGACATGAGGGGTGAAAAGGGGAAAATGCTTGACATTTAGGTGGACACTTGGGTTTTTTAACCTGCCTTTCCCCTAACACCTTAGTGCTACATAAAACAGGGCAGACAAGTGGGCGAGTTGCTGAAAATCAGCACGGAGCATTACTTGTATTCAGAATGGGAATCTATTCCTACTTTCAAAACTAAACACATATAAATAACAGCACACCAAATCTTTAAATATTTGCATTACTAGTAGTTATTTTTGAATTCGTATCACTAGCTGGATACACAACAGTATGGCTACATGAACACAAACATTGTTCTGGGAACACAGCAAGTCTTTTTTCTGCTCTTTTTTTTTTTTTTTTTTTTTTTTGTTTACAGAGACACACAGAATACATGAAATTGCTATAATGATATAAATGGTTCTTTTAAAAAAGTGCAGTTTTACAAAAGCCTCATCCTCTAGAATTTCTCTCCCAATTTTCAGGATACTGAAGCTTTTTTTTTTTTTTAAAAAAAATGTAGTCACAAAGCAGTCATCTGGAAGGTATGTGAAAGGTGGGAGAGGGCTATGCACGTACAGCACAATGGGCTGTGGAGCTGTTTATTTGAAGACTACAGATGTGAAACAGTCAATAAAAGACCACAGGTCAGCACATGGTCATGACCATTTAGAATACAGACCCACAATGCACCAACCCCTCCGAGAGTGCCATGGCAGTGTCATTTTTGAGACTGGTATCACCAGTTGCAGCTCAGGTTGTCACACCCAGTCTAAGCTCCTTTCCTCGCTCATGAGCATATTGTTCCTTTCGCAAATGTCTGGTTTGAAATAATCCATGTCCGGTGCCTGTTTCAGGATGATTTGTTCTTAATTTAAATATTAAAGTTTTATCACAAGTAGGTCATCCATTCCTAAGGAGAAGGCCCAAGAGAAAAATGTTATTCTGTGTCAAAACATGTTCAGCCATTGCAGAGAACCATTAAACACACTGTGCAGAAGCTGTAGCATCATATACTTTGGAAAAACAGATGGAACCGTGCAGTAGAATCACTTGGGTGTCAGAAAATGAACTTCTGCATTTTTAATGACAGCCTGTATGCACCTGGGCAATTTCAGACCTGGAATGCCATTCTGTGTATGTTCTGCAGAACCTGCAGATAAAACTCCCTGTTGATTCCACCTGCGCTGGATAGGTTCTCAAATCAGGGTCTGAATATTGCGTGGGAAAGGGGATGGGGCTACATATGAGATAACTGTGATTACAGCTGCCATCAGCTACTACTGCAGATACTGTGCATAGAACCTAGCAGGATTCCATAGGATGAAAAAGAAATTCACACAAATACACACACACACACATATATGTTATAGGCCTGTGTAGCCTTATACATATTTATTTACCTATTTTTATATATAAATAAGGGTACACATGCAAGATGAAAAGAGGCATTTCTTAACTTTTTCGTACTTGATTTTGAAACCTTAACTTTTCAGTCATGCATTTGGTATGAAACAATCAATTGCAAAGTTGAGAAATTGGGTAGGATGTGAAGATAAGGAAATCCAGATGTAAGTCTTGAAGAAAGTCACTTATTGGAAAAAAAAGACCAAAAAAAAAAAAAAAGAGACGAAAAATAAAGATAAATAAAATTATGTTTGTCTGTTTGTCAGTCAGTGTAATTCCCTCAGACATTTCCTGCACGGACAGAGAGTACACACATGATCTTCACAGTAAAAGTACACACGCACACACACACACACACACACTCTCAGCCAGAAACAGCTCTCAGTTCGGCGAGATGCAGAGAGGCTACTTTTCCTTGCATCAGGCGCTGTGACTGGGACAGAAATGGATGTAAAACCATTTTATAAAGTACTACAAATGTCCAGCGGAGAAAAAAAAAAAAAGGTCTTTAAAGAGCAACTAGAGTACTGAGGCTGGAGACCACCCAAGCCAGCAAGCAGAGGGGCTGGAAGGACAAACGAGGGCATGGGTTTAGCGTCTTGGCTGACACGTTCCTCTTCCGTCTGGCTGCAGAAGGCGTGGGAAATGCTGCCTCGAGCATACGAGGAATTTGCACTCTTCGAGACGGCAGCCGCACGCTCCGTGGGCTCTCTCTGCCTCTGCTTGCACGCAGAGGTTTCTGCCTCTGAGGTACCGTCTGGCAGAATCCCCCCACAAGACTACTCCTAAGCTGCCAAAGTGCAACTCAGGCTATCAGTGTGTCGACGCTCGAGCTGGTACTGCTGTGTGCAAACATGCAGAGCTGGAAACGCCGCTGGCTCAGCAGCGGACCCGCACGCAGGTAAAGCAGCAGCAGCCTCTCAGAGAGAGGCCGGGATTACTGCAGCTCCACAAGCGGTAAGACACATGAGAGCCTCGGGCTGTAAAACGAGGAAAGCAGGAGCTCCCTGGAGCGCGGGTAGGCCAGGAACACTTCAGCACACAGAGGTGTCGCCGTGCCAGAAGACTACAGGGAAGGCTGAGGTTCGGGGACACATTTCTCTTCCGCTTGTCCCGCTGTCTCAGCAAGGCGCAACAGAGCTTCAAGGTACAGCAAGCAGGTTACTGAGACCGTTTCCAGGCTTGGAGCAAGGGGGCAGGGACCAGGCAGGGCAAGGCAAGCCCGGGCTAGAAAACAAGAGAATGAGGACTTGCTAAGAAATCTCTCTGATTCTTGCTTGTAGTGTTCTTGCTTGAGGGAATAAGGTCAGGAAGAACAAATGGCAGCTAGAGCTGTTTGTTGTTTTTTTTTGTTTTTTTTTTTTTTCAGCAAACACTCTGAAACTGCATCTCACGTGTGTGACAATGGCACCACATGCCAGGATAAAGCTACAACTTCTTGATACGTAAGGGAAAATGAAATACAAACCAACAGCAACAGAGAGCAAATACAACCAATGTAAACTGTAAAAGTAAAAGCTGATTGGTGAAATTCTGCTTTGAGTTACACCCCAGAAAATTTATGTAACTAAATCAACAGAATAATTAGATTTATTTTCATCTAAGCAGCAAAATCTAGCTGAAAAGCCTTAGGTGAAAGACGACCTTTCAGTTCTGTTACAAGTTATCTCCTTAGAGTCAAAAACGCCTAACAAGCTATTAAAGGTCTAGAAATTATTTTTCCGAAAAACTCATGGTAAAGTAGTAAGTAGTAATAATTTCACTTTATTAATGGTTTGCACGTAGGTGCAACATGACAAACTTTAAAAAATAACACAGCTGTGGATTTTGTATACTACGACAGGACCATAAATAAATGTGTAAGTTAATTACGCTAGCCTGCTGACCCCTAACCTACGCGTACTGTCTGCTGGCCACAGGTGACAAACGGCAAGATCCACTCCCTTTCCAACTGTAACCTTCCCCTTTCCAGCATCCCCCTCCCTTTCCCCTGCCCTGGGTTCATCTGCAGCACAGTGAAATACCTAGCCCTTTACTGACTTCTCTCTTCTTCCTCCTCAGACTGAAAACACATTTTCAGACGCACCTTCAACCTGTTTTTTTTTTTTTTTTTTTTTCTCCATTTAAAACTAAGTATGCAATGTTTGCCATTCTGCAGACATTGCTCTCAGACTTAAAGCTGCCCATGGAAAACTATCTCATGGTATACATACACTCATGACAACAGTTGGTCTCCAACACACCCTGGGTCCTTTCGGTACATTCAAGACATACTTACCCTTAGCAAAAAAGAGATTTTTTTTTTTATTATTATTTTTTTTTTTCCAGTTGCTATTACAGGACTGAAATCTGCAGGCCCTATAACTCAAAAACATTCCTGAAAGAAAATGCGTATTTTCCCATGGAACTAAAAGATGGACACTGAAACAGTTGAATTCTGAGGAAGCTAGAGATCTCTTTGACATACTGTGAATGACATGCTGTGGGCTTTCCGGGGGGTTTCAGGTTTTGGGTGGGTTTCATAGCTTAGATTTAATAGGAAACAAAGTTTGCCATGGCTCATAAACTCATGGCAAAGCAAACACACCAAAGTCCCCTCAGGTCCTTGGAAAGGTCACGGGAGTCTCCTAAAGGGCTTTAAAGACACAGGAGGTTAACAAAGCTGGGCAGGAGAACGTTAGATACTCATACACAAAATGAAAGCCCAGAAATCTGTCCCGGTTTCACTTTAAATTTAGTATCTGCCTGACGGGCCATAGCTCCTTTGGTTTACACTGTCCAAGGACTTGCCAAGGACTGAGCTCTACAGTTCTTTGCAAATGAAATAGTAAAGTTCCCTCTAACCTAAGTTTCATTATTCAGTTCTTCAAAGTAATGCTACAGTAAACAGTAAAATAACTTGAGAAATGACTAATAAGGTATAGGGTGGTATATTCAGAACTGAATTCAGAAGTGATCTTTAATGGTAATTAATAAAGTTAAAAAGCAACAAAGACCTCTTAATTTCATTTAAAAATTAACATAGATATTAAAACTTCATTAGTACTCATGGTATCCTTATGTGACACTTCATGCCATGGTATCCTTTTGAAAAATAGAGAACACCAAGTTAAACATATGTGCAGTAGTACCT